GAGGGCGCGCCGCTGCCCGGCGCTGGGCGCCTGCCCTCAGCCGCCTCCCCGGACCGCAAGCAGTTCGCCGCCGCGGGATAGGCAGCGGGCGCTGGGGCGGTGGCACGGGGCGGGCCAGAGGCTCCGCACTCCCTCACGGACTTCGAGCGTGTGTTACCGGGCTAGGTTTGTTGTGGAGGTGTGTGTGTTTTTCCGGTGGGGTGGGGGGGCGGCCTCGCCGGGGGCATCTCCGCGGTTGCCCTCGGGCCCTCGCCGGGGTATGAGGAGCGGCGCAGGTTGGACCAGGGCGCGGGTGGCCCCTGGCGCCCGGCTCCGGCCCCTCGGAGGGGGAGCGGCGCGGAGGGGCGGGGTGCGTGTGTAAATGTTGCGCACTCGCTTTTCCCCCACCCCCCGCCTTCTTCCAGGGTGCTGGCGTGGATCCCTCGCCGTCCGGCGGCGACTGTAAATAGAGCCTGGATGTTGTTTACATGAAGGATCCGGCGGGAGGAGTCTGCGAGGAGGAGGCGGAGGAGGAGGGAGGGAGGAGAGAGGAAGAGCGGAGTCCCCGCGGCGGCGGCGGCGGTCCGGGGTGAGGGGGAGCCCCGTGCGGTGTCCGGGGACCGGGCGCTACCACGGGGCCGGGACGCTGGACCCTGGGGTAGGAGGGAGAATGGGCGGGGGGTGGGGGGGCCTGTCAGTGTGGCATTTTTAGCTTGCAACCTGCCACACGCACATTCTGTCGGGCTCTCGGAGGGGAGGGGGTGTGCAGGGAGGGCGAGGAAGCCTCGATTTCTCTGTACGTTCTTTCTCCCATCCCCAATCTTTTCCCGCTTTACAACGGGCTCACCTGTTTATTTCCATCAACCAGAGTGTGCAGTTTTTTTTATGTAGGCATGAGAGGCTGTTTCTTTTATTAGAAACATTATTGGGGGGGTGCGTTGTTGTAATTTCTGCCGGTCCTGTTCGGTTTTCAAGAAGGGGGAAGGGACTTGGCGGAGATCGCCTGCTCTGGTCGCAGCTGAACCCGCGGCTTCTCCCTGCCTTCCCGGGCCAAGGAATCTTTTCCCTCACTCAGCTACCCGCGCGCGAGCTGCCACCTTCTTGGAGAAGGACCACACCTGTGCTTATTCTCGCTTTGGAGGAGAGGTGAGCTGAAAAACCGGAGAATCTTGTGTTCCGCAGAGTTCTTAGCTAATCCCCCATCCCAGAATTGACCAGAAAGTGCTGCTTTCACCTGCTGATTGCACCGGGCACATCCATCCCGGACCCAGGCAAGTTGTGGTCTACAGATGTGCTGGGATTTTCTCTTCCCTCTGGACCTGCACCCCGCCAACCAGCAACTAACTGCTGGGTTTAGATTGAGAGAGGTGATCTCCTTAGGTCAGTGCCGTTATTTGTTCCTTACCAGGTATTCTAATGGAATTGTCTGCTGTCTCCTGACAGCCCCCTTCTTTTCTTTCCTTAAGAGCTTAGCCCAGAATCTGGCCTAAAGCAGCCTGTCTCTGGCTCTCTTTCCCTGGGCCCCACCCTGGCCCCTCTTGGTTCTCCAGAGCCAAACACGCCTCCCAAGCAGAAGACACACCCAGCCCCAAATCCAACCATTCCAAAAGGGAGGAGAAAATAGTGGACCCAAGGGTCCCCTTTCTGTCCTTAATATCCCCAACAGCATTTTTCTCTTCAAACCTAGATTTATAATCCCTTGATTCTTCTCACCAGCTGTCCTTCTTACCCTTTTTGTCCATAGTCCTATGATAGATATTTGGGAAGGTGGGGACGAAGAGTGGAGAAGGAGGTTGTCACCCTTCTTCCCTAGCATGAGGCATTTTCCATCTCCCCAGTCTTTTCGTTTTTGAGTAAAATACGTAAATACGTTTGCATGCTTATTTGAACTTGTTTTCTTGCTGGCTGAATAATAGCTGGGACTCACAAGGAAGGGAAGGGAAAGGAAAGAGATGAAAAATGAACATCACCCCCCTCCCGGGTTCCACCATATGAGCATCCCCAGAGTTGCTGAAGACCCTTCTGTAAAAGCCAACAGCCTCTCTTTCATGACATCACCACCTAAGCCCTTCCAACTTTAGCTTCAGAACAGGAAGAACGCTCAAAATAGAACTATCTTAGGAATCCAGCTCCTTTAGAAGATCAACTTTTAACTCAGCTGCAGGAGAAACACTGAACTTTGACATAGGGAGGGAAAACTGAAATGTTTGTAACTGGTTCCTTTGGGGAAGAGTAGAGGGGATACTTCCCATGTATATTCAGAAAAGCTTTTCTCAAGGTAACTTGGGTACCTAGACCAATGAATGATTAATAGGATGGTTTGGGATTCATTTATTGAATTACTCATACGTTTTGGTATGTCAACAATAACAAGCATTTTTCAGAATGAAGAGGGGCTCCTGGAATGTGCTCTAAAGAGTATAAAGGAGGTTGTGGAGGGAGGCTGGGAGGGAGCGCTTGAGGAAGGTGAAGAATCAGGATGCAGGGACAGCTGCTGTGAGTGTGAAGTTCAGAGGCTCATCATAAACAATGTCGGTAAGTTTGGCGGGGTGACTAAGATCCTGGACAAAGAAGTAACGATGTCAGGATTTTCCACCTTTACTTTGGAGCCGAACTGTGTATCTTTGAATTTCAGTGTCTCCATTCTTTTCTTGAGTTGAGGTGTACCTTTCTCTCTGAGCGAAAAGCATTGTTCAGTCTCTGGGAAGGGCTGCTTAATCAGTGATCATCACTAAAGTATTGACAACTTAAGGATTAGTAGTGGGGCAGAAAATACTTGGCATCATTGGAGCACCTGGTGGGTGTTGTAGAAGGACTTGCTGGTTGAAGAGGGTAATATTTTTCAGTCTGGTTCAGGTTTAAAAGAATCCAGGTGACAGGATTGTCTGTAACTGCATTAATTCGGTAGCCAACGTGTCGCTGTCAAGCACCTGAAATCTGGCTACGATAATGAGCTGAATTTCAAATTTTAGTAAATTCTTAAAATTGATACTTGATTCAGTTATTGGAAAACTTAAATATGTTTGGAAACAATTTGAACATACGCATCTACTTTTTAAACTGTAAAACGGGTGAAATCTAAATACAGGTTAAGTATTTCTGATGAAAATCTAGAGTTTGAATTGAGTGAGATGTGTTGTAAGTGTAAATTACACCCCAGTTTTCAAAGACTTAGTACAAAGAAAATAAAATATCTTGAGTTATTTTTATATTGATTACATGTTCAAATGATACTATTTTAGGTATATGGACCTAAATGAAATATATTAAGGTTGATTTAATCTGTTTTATAAATTTATTTTTAAATATGGCTGCTAAAATATTTAAAAACATGCATGGCTTGCATTTTACTTCTCTTGGAAAGCACTGGCCTGTAACATCGCTCCTTTTGGTCGATGGATTAATTTCAGAAGAGGTGACTGTAAAATCGCTACTTTCCTTTGCTGTTTTTCATGTGGAAATTTGGGGATCCCAAGAGTCATTATTTTAGAACATGAGACCTAATAGTGAATGCTTTGCATATTTCTATGTGGGAGGCATGTCCTATTCATGAAGGTCAATAAAAGTGTGTAGGGAACTAGAAAGGCTAGTGGGGGTGTCATGGGAAAACTTAGATACCCACACATCTAGCTGTAGCTGCTTTTGTAAAAGGCTCCTGGGCATGCCAAACTCTATCAGAGAACAGTATGTGACACAGTAACTATTGTGACACCTGGTGGCATGTTAGTGATACCACTCACGTTTGTTTTCTCTTACTCCTTCATTTACTTTCTCTCCTCCACTCCCCCATGCCCCCACCCCCACATCATAGCTCCACTGGTGGTAATTGGGCCCACAAGGCTGCTGACCCCTTGTCTCCAAAAAAAAAAAAGTATAATGCTGACCTGAATGGAGACAGTGCCATCTTTGGGGTTTGGTTTTGTCTAATGAGATTGATTAATGGCACTGGAAGGGACTTAGGGGTCATTTAAATACAATATCCTCATCTTATAGATGACAGACTGTCGTATACGTTGCTTAAGACCGAACAGACAGAGGCTGGAATTAAACGTACTTTGGTTGATAACCTAGAGAAGCCATAGGAAATGACAAGGTTTGTCAGTTAATTAAATACCTGTTGAGCTTGCACGTTGTGGAAAGGACTGTGATTAGTGTTGTGAAGTGCCCTGAAGAAAACAGTCTCTGACTTAAGGAACAATACTGCTAATTTGAAGAAGTAATTATTAGCGGTGTCAAATTACAGTACAGTACAGGCAGACCTTGTTTTATGGTGCTTCACAGATACAGTGGTTTTTGTTTTTGTGTGGGTTTTTTTTGTGTTTTTTTACACATTGAAGGTTTGTGGCAACTTTATGTTGGGCAAGTCCATTGGCACCATTTTTCCAACAGTATTTGCTCACTTTGTGTCTTTGTGTCACTTTTTGGTAATTCTCAGAATATTTCAAACTTTTCATTATTATACTTGTTTTGGTGATCTGTAATCAGTGAATATGACTTGCTAAAAGCTCAGATGATAAGCATTTTTTGAGTAAGGTATTTTTTTTTAAAGATTTTATTTTTTTAATTAAAGTATGTACATTGTTTCTTTTTTGAGAGAGAGAGCAGGGGCAGAGGGAGAGAGAGAGAGACTCTTAAGCAGGCTCCATGTCCAACGGAGAGCCTGATGTGGGGCACTGTGTCATAACCCTGAGATCATGACCTGAGCCAAAAACAAGAGTCGGAAGCTTCACCAGCTGAGCCACCCAGGTGCTCCTCTACATTGTTTCTTTAGACATAATACCATTGCACACTTAATAGGCTATGGTGTAGTATGAACATAACTTACATATGCACTGGGAAACCAAAAAATTCTTTTGACTCGCTTTATTGTGATACTTTATTGCAGTAGTCTAGAACTGGACCCACAATAGCTCTGAGGTATGCCTGTATAAGAAATAGCACCTAATAATGAGTGCACTACCACTGTAGCATATGGTACAAATAGAAATGTGTTTATTTTACAGATGTAGGAATAAAAGCTCTGAGTATGGTGGACTCTGCGGAAAAGAGGAGTTTGTTTCTGGAGCAGCTCAGAACTGCTCTAGAACTTGAGGACGGTGAGAATCTTTGGTGTTGCCCTCTTCAGTTGTCCATGCAGGGCATCCGAGAATCTAAGACCCAGAATCTTTAAACGGTAGTGCTGCAATAATGAGGAGGTCATAGATTAATTAGAGACCGTTAGGGTGTTTAGAGATGGTTAGCCAGGGGTATATCATCTTGACTAGTTATCTTAAAATATTTAATACAGAGGTGAAATCAGAATAAAACTGACTTGTGAATAGACTATAAAATCCAAAATCTGGGGGGAAATTGAGCCTAGAACAAAATCAGAAAGCAAAATAACTGTGGAATAGACAGCTGGACTGCAAGTATGTATGCTGAGTGTGTGTATATAAGAGGAAAAGGTTAATAATAGAATTTATGGGCTGATCCATTTATTCGTAACTTTTTAGTCTTCTGTAGCCTTTTTGGACTAAAATCCCTGTTAGCATAAGGAGAACACTTGTTCTTTCTCCCTCTACCTTATTGTGTCCATACTTTTTTTGATAGGGCTTTTCCTCGAGTCGGATCTGTTAGGGAAATGCAGTAGGAGATGGTTTAGGGGCCACTGCTGGGAGTGGGTAAAACATGACACTCCTTTCTAATTACTCCCAGTTAATGCTGCTTCGCGAGAATTGGGGTGGACGGTGCACTGCATGGGGCAGCGGTCCTTGGCTTCTCCTCGCCTTTTGAGCCAGTTTCTTTCTTCTTAAGAAAAAAATACCTGTGACCCCCCCCTCACTCCAGGTCTCCTAATAATCTCTAGCACAAGTTAGTTTTTAAAAACTTTTTTTTTTTTTTTTTAAGATTTCATTTAGTTATTTGACAGAGAGAGACACAGCGAGAGAGGGAACACAAGCAGGGGGAGTGGGAAAGGGAGAAG